GCTGATTTTTTGTATTTTAGTAGAGGCAGGGTTTCACCATGTTGGCCAGGGTGGTCTCAATCTCCAGACCTTGTGATCCATCCTCCCTCGGCCTCCCAAAGTGCTGGGATTACTGGCGTGAGCCACCATGCCAGGCCTTTCCATTTATTTTGAATTTGCCAGCAGCTCTAGTAAAACTTAGCTAGAAGGTAACATGAATATTTACAGTAAAACAGTTCAATTTCTTGAGCTTTATTTCACCTTAACGCTGTCTCCCGTTAACATTGATAATTCAGTTTATCTGAAGGAAATAGAGTGATTTCACAATTTTATTTAGAAATTTCTGAGAGGTGGCAAATGGTAGAAAGCAAGGCTTTTCCCATAAAGCTGCATTTCCATAGTAGGTATCCAAATTTAATTCAGGAGAAAATAAAACGTAAATTGGAAGGGCTTAATTTTTTATCTTAGTTTCAAGTAGGCACATAGCTTCTTGAAAGGAATTAGATCATGTTGTTAAGAAAATTGAGATACAATTTTGAGGAATCAATTACCTAGGTATTTTTCTCAAATAATTAGTGAATAATGTTTGATCAATTCCAAGGTTGTGGCTTTCAGTTTTCAAGGTGGAAGCTATCTTTCTGCAGTGGCTGTTTGGATGCAACACAATTTAGTGGAGAGCATGCTGAGAAGTCTCTTTGAGAGGTCTTTGGAGGCTGTAAGAGTGACAAGACAAATTTAAGTCCTTCTGAGGACTAAGAATATTTCAAGTTTCAGGAGAACAGAGCCATAATTGTTCTCATGGGATTTGACAATAAAGGACTTGATTTTGAGGATCAGTTAACAAAGGTTGTGAATTTGGACCCATGGCAGGATCTGATGGTGACCCTGAAGCTGGAAGGAACCTTGGAGTACAGCTTCTGTTCTTTGATGGTTATAAGCAGAGCAAGTACAGTACATCAACATTTAGGTCCTCCCTTTTGAGGCATTTCGCTGTCTTTCAGTTTAGAAGCTGGAGAGACAAGCAGATACTATACTTTCCTTCTCCCCCATCAGTCCCTACTCCCCACAGAAAATTAAAAAAAATAAATTTGCATTTTATTTATTTATTTATTTTAAAATTTCTATTTGTTTTTAGATTCCAGGGTACACGTGCAGATTTGCTACAAGGGTATATTGCGTGGGGCTCAGACTTGGGCTTCTATTGGGTACCATGTTCACCCAGATAGTGAACATGGTATGCAGTAGGCAGTTTTTCAGCCCTTGTCCCCCTCCTTCTCTCCTGTTGAAGTCTCCAGTGCTTGTTTCCCATTTTTATGTCCATGTGAACCCAAGATTTTGTTCCCAATTATAAGTGAGAACATGTGATATTTGGTTTTCTGTTTTCCCACAAACATTTGAGGGATAAACTAAGAAATGGTAAGCCTTCCCTCTGATTTTGAAATCAATAACAAAGGAAGGAGTAATTAAGAGATGGATCAATAGCTGAAACAAAATGAGCACTTAGGGTGGAATTTCTGTTTACCTTCGAAAAATGTTCTGTATGAAGACAAACTTTTTTTAAAAATTTAAACATTTTTTTCCTCTTTAGGTTTTTGTTCTTTATGCTGATACAAGGTAACAGCCTAAGGAAAGAGTCATGTTATATTTCAATGGTAGTATACTTTATTTGCACCATTTTTTTCTGGAGATTTTTCCTTTATACTGTCTTTTTAAAAATTCAGTTAATGGTGGCCACCCATTCCTGGATATATCCCTCTTGCAGTGTGTGCTCCTTCTACAGGTCTGTGAAAAGCATGCTTTTCATGATTCTATCTTACTGCTATCTTTCAGGAAGGGGTAGAACAAGACTTATTGGACATAGCAGATTTCAAGACAATTTTATTTATTATAACATTTTGAAGTTTTATACTAGACTGAAGCATATAAAAAAGCTGAGGCAATCTGAGAGAGAACTATTAAATTTTCTAATCAACAACTAAATAAAAACGAGAATGTGAATTCTTCATTATGGTCACTAAGAGGGAGAGGGAGGAAGGAAAAGGAAGGAGAAAAAAGAATATGGGACATCAAAAGACCAGAGGAGATGAAAACAGACCTTTCTTTTTCAGAATGAAAAGAGGATAAGAATTTGCTTAGCTACGGAGAGAGACAAGCTAGAGAATAAGAGATGGGGGTGAGTATTTAGTGGCAAATGAGCTCGCGTGATGCTCTGCTTTTCAACCATGATGGTAAACATTACATTCTTATTTGAGCCCTCTTTATGCTTTGGGGTAGGGTTTAGACTTCCTGACCTTCTGCAAAGAGTGGCATGACTATCCATATTCTCCCTGTAACCTACTAAAGTCACTTGCAGTCCTTTTGGTTGACTTGTGTCCATGAGGAAATACTCATTGTCCTTTGAAATGTCAGTCTTCAGTTATATCAAACTGTATTCCTGACTAGGTGTGGAAATGCCCTTCCCACTCCTATCTACGAAAGTCAGTGTTTATATTCTCCAATTTTAGTATTTAACACAGGTGTGAAGGCTTGTGCTAGGTGTTAGAGATTCACTTTTAACTTTATAGCTATTACATTATTTAATTTAAATTTAATACACAGATTACCAGATTGACTTACTTTTGGTTTCAATAGATATATAGATTATCTGGATATAGCAACTCTTCAATGTGATGAATAAGGTTGATGCTTGCAAAGGAACCTTCTCACTTGCCTTGCACATCACAGGTGCTCAGTTGTTATTAGTTTTCTTCTTTAATAGTGAAGTTGATATTGAAAAACTTTAAGTAGTAAAATTGCAATCCAAGATTAAATGATTTAGCTAAAATTCCAATTTGCTTTCTGAGTGCATTTCATGTTTGTATATAGAGGGAGCTTTGTTAGGATTCAACTAAAAGTAAAAAAATTAAAGAATTTCACAATACCAATAATTAATGTATCATATTTGCATCTGTGGCTTAACATACTTTTAGTTTCTCCTGCTATTTTTGAAGTGTTCCCTTGGTATCGCTATCAAGTATTTTAGGTGCAACACACAACAGTTGCTTATGATCTGAAGCCAAAACTTGCATCTTTGCAGCCTCATGGGACGCTCAGCAGTAGAACATATTATTTAGGGTAATTCTGGAAAGTTTCAAAAATGCTATTATAGGTACAAATTGGTCTCATTCACTGACTAATTTATCCAGGCGCATTTATTGAGCACTTATATCCAGCTGTGCTGGCTGTGGCAAACACAGGCCGACTTCCTCCCTTCATGGACCTTTTATTTTTGTGGTGGTAAATTAATTAGTTACGAAATCTTGGCTCCCTTCAAAGCTGTTTTAGATCCCATCATTTTAAGGGATTCATTTGAAACAACGGTCATGTCACATGAAGAATAGCCAGGTAATGTTACCCTGACAGAGAGAGGTCTTGAAAGTTTGTCTTCATCTCTGTCTAGAAGATTGTCATATTTACATCTCCTAAGAACTCTGTGGGAAAAGTTTTTGTAACATATGCTGACAAGAGGTTAAGCCAAGAGATTTCAAAGGACTCTTTCATACTAAGGAGTTGTTAACAAACCAAGGGAGGAAAAAAATCTCTCTTAAAACAACTTCAGAAAAACAGAAACCCCCTAAAAAATTGCTGCCTGACTTGGTAACCGTAGTGAGCTCTAATGAGCAGACAGGCATGGGTTGTGTCTATCACACTATTGACCCTTGTTCATCCTTTATCATTTTGTACAAAGAAAGCCTGGAGACTAATGGAAAAACATTATGGAGCTTTTATTGATCTCTGCTTCTGACTGTGAACTGTAGCTAGAGACTTGTTAAGCTAAATGAGCTCAACTGAGACTCAGGCTGTCAACATTTGTGCAGAACCTGTACATTAGCTTCTGGGTCTGCAGGGGTTGTCTTCTGATGAGACATAAACATTGTGCATGCACAGTTTTGAATTGAGCTTTCTGGCAGTTATATGAAAAGAGCCTGCTTTTAATTTTTAAAAAAATATTTGTAGCACTTTTGTTGTTTTTATTTCAAAAGTAAACATGTTTAGAATGTATTATTAAAAACTGCGTGTGTGTGTATGTGTCTGTGTGTGTGTTTACTTAACATTTGGCAGCATTCTTCATTGTCAGTGAATGAAATGGTAGTTTGCTGTTTTGTTAAGTGGGCAGTGTTAATTTCACTTCAGTGTCCCTTGTGGTTGGAGATACTGGAGCAGAGTCTTGGTAGAGATTAATATTATGGAGCAGTGGTTCCTAACATGTGGGCTCCAGGCTAGCAGGAATAGCCTCACTTGGGAACTTGATTGAACTCCTCCTGTTCCAGGTGGTTCTGATGCATGCTGAGGTTTGAGACCCCTGTGATAGGAACATGAGCCTAAAATCAGTAATTCTCTAGGAGATAAGAAGAAGATGGGGAGTGTCAGCAGCACCTGGGTTTCTTCTTTTCCCAAACTCACAGCCTCTTTCCTCCACTCTGCTCCTCCTTCTACTCCCATCACTGCACAGTAGCCATTCCTCTGGGACTCCCACACAGCCTTTGGGGGTGTTGGGGTAAACACCCCAAAGTTTACCCCAAAGTTTACTCATTTACTGGACTAAATGAGTAACATTTTAGAGCCGATCCATCATCATGGAATTATGTCTTGACCTTGTGACATTCTTAGGATACTTGTTAATAAAGATTTGTACATTTTGCTGGTCTTTTTGTTTGTTTGTTTGGTTTTGGGTTTTTTTGTTCTTTTTTTTGAGACGGAGTTTCACTCTTGCTACCCAGGCTGGAGTGCAATGGCGCGATCTCGGCTCACCACAACCTCCGCCTCCTGGGTTCAGGCAATTCTCCTGCCTCAACCTCCTGAGTAGCTGGGATTACAGGCATGTGCCACCATGCCCAGCTAATGTTTTTTGTATTTTTAGTAGAGACGGGATTTCACCATGTTGACCATGACGGTCTCGATCTCTTGACCTCGTGATCCACCCGCCTCGGCCTCCCCAAGTGCTGGGATTACAGGCTTGAGCCACCGTGCCCGGCTTTGCTGGTCTTTTCATCTATTCTGGGTATACTGATGATCTCTTAGGAGTTAGACAGAAGTAAGAGAAGTGTATTGTTTTATAATCTAGTAATAGCCTCTGGTTGCAGATCTTTCCTAGGAAATTTGAAAATGTTTTTACTCCTTTATGAAATAAAAATTTTAGTTTTATTATATAAGGCTTTGTAGTTTGGGTTTATCTGAAGTAAGCCACCCATTCACTGGCATTGAGAAAGACTGTGGAATGGTTTTTGTGGTCACATGTCTTTTGAATCCAGGTTCGCTGGGCATATATCCTGGCTCTGCTAAACTGTATACATGACCTTGGGAACTTCCTTTACATTTCTTGGTCAGTTTCTTCATTTGTAAAATCAGTCTGGCAATAATGACTACTTCTTAGCTGTTTAAAGCATTTAGTGAGTTATTGAATGTTAAGTGCCTGACTCTTGCTTAGGACTCAATAAATGTTAGATATTACTATTAGTGACTACTGTACAATGAAATAAGATTACCTACAACTGTGAAGATAACTAATTAAAACAATAATCAAGACTGGAAAACATATATTTATTGTGTACTATATAAAAACATTCCATCAAGATAGAATAAAGCTATGAAGTCAGACAGATACAGGCTTGAAAATTTGGTATGTGTCATACTGCAGGTAACTTAGCTGTTCCTGAGCCTTGGTTTTATCTTCAAAATGGAGACAATTCTGCTTTGGAGGACTGTTGTGAGCAGAAACAAGAACATTTGGAAGAGGCTGGTGTACTCAATACAAATGGCTATTATACTTTTTATTGCTACTTGCTTTTCTTGAACTAAATTTTAAATAGCAACTCCTCTTTTTTATGGAAATCTAGGGAGTCTGATTTAGAGGAAGTGAGTACATGCTGTAGAATGGCCCATATGCCATTTTGCTATTAGAATATGAGTCATTATTTCTAAACTTAGTATTGCTTTATTTGTATGTTCCTTGCTTTTCTCAGAATCCCTAAGTCAGATCCAACCATAAACTTTGGATCATAAAAGAAAGCAACTTCAATTAAGTGGATTTTTGGAGTCACTGCAAGTCACTCATATGAGGCTGTCTGACCAAGCAGTGATGTAAAGAGGGCTAATAGTATTTCAGTGAGCAGCTCTGGCATTTTATGTTTGTACAGAGTGCTTCTACTTAACGAAAGTTTTAAATTTGTATTATCTTTTGTATTGAGGTACAATTTACATATGTTGAAATGTGTAGATCTTAATTGTGCATTCCCTCAGTCCTGACAGATACATACACTTCTATTAAGATACAGAATATTTCCAGAAAGTGTCCTCGTGTCCCTTCTCAGTCAATCCTTTCTCTTTTCCCATGCAACCACTATTCTGATTCCTATTGCCTTTGGTCAGCTTTTCTTGCTGTGGAACTTCACATAAATGGAATCCTGCAGCCTTTTGTGTCTGTACTTTTTTCCTTACCATAATGCTTTTGAGATTCAGCTGTATTATTATATGCATCAGTATAGTTTATTGTTGTTGGTGAGTAGTATTCCATTGTATGGATATACCAAAGTTTGTTTATCCATTTTCCGATTAAGAGACATTTGGGAAATTTCTGTTACTTCTTTTGATCATTATTGTAATGTTGTTGGAAGGTCAGAAGATTCTACTATCTTATTCTCTAGATTAGGAAGCTGGGATTCAGAGAAGTGAGACAACTCAAGGTAAATGGGGAACTCGAGAAGAGAACCTGATTATCTGGGCCCAGATCCTCTGCTTCCTTTACTTTCTATTTTCTGAGCCCAGGTTATTTTTGGCCCTGACTAGGAGTTCTGCCCTGTCTGACACCAGGATTTGACCTGACCTGTCTTATCTTTGATGGAGAAAGACCTAGAATATCAAAATTTAGGAATGTAGCCCTAATCTGGGCTAACCCTTGCCTAAGCCTTAGTTTCTTTCAGGTGCAGTGAATAGACTTCTTAGGCTGGCTCAAAAGTTGAGCAAGTAGAGGATCTGGATTACACCGGTTTAGATTACAGAATGCCTGAAGATATTCTAGGAGAGCTTTGTCTTTCATAGTGGCAAAGGGGAAATAGGATGAACATGGAATAAGATAAGCGTCTCTTAAATCCTAGCTCTGCCACCTATTAGTTGTGTGAGGTTGGGTAACTCAACTCTCTGGGTCTCTTTCTCCGTCTGTAGAAGAGGTAGTACAATGCTTCCCTCTCAAGTCTCGGCAAGGAAGTTCCTGACACAACCTGTCCTTTCTGTGCTCGATCAAGGTTGGAATTAAGAGAGCATTATAATATGATATTGATATTGCTGTGGGATTTTCATTGTATGGAAGAATGAATTCTTCCCTTTATCTCAGAAGACAATTCATTATTTATAGAATCTGAATAAAAATAGAAAAGTTAATTTGTCAGTAAAGTCCTCATAAAAATAAAGCAAGAGAGGGGCAAAGAGGAATGTGTTTACTTTAAGACAGCTGGAAAAATGAATATAGGTAAATAGGTCCTTTGAAGACACTCTCTTCCTTCTCAGGAAAAAGGCAAACATATTTAGAAGGTTAATCCTTGTTCAGGATGCTGATTAGGCTGTGTGGTTAAATAAGGTCTGTAGGAGAACCAAAAGGAAAAAGGATCTTAAGGGAACCCCATTCCTGCCCTATTATGGATTTAATGAGGTCTCTGGGTCACAGTTTCTCCATCTGTAATCCCTAAATAGCACTTTTTAATCACATATCTCAGGATTTGATGTGAAATTTGATGTGTTCAATTTTCTCATAATTTATATAGTTGCAAAAATTTTGCATAAAAAGAATAGTATTTATGTGTATTTTATGTAATTTAAGGCAAAGTATGCTGTCCAAGAAAATCTTACAGTTTATGAGAAGATTGACATGTGAATGACTTAACAGCAGAATACATTAAATGCTTGTCATAACAAAAATTGGCAGGAGTCTTAGAAGAACCTAGAGTTAGATGATTAGCTTGGTTCATAAAAGCTTCTAAAGGAAATTTCAAAGACTTAATGACATCACTGAACTTTTCCAACCAATATTGAGAGAAGCTGGTATGAAATGATTCAAGGAGTATTTACTGCTCTGCAAAACAGCTTTGCCTTTAATGTTTCCCAAGAAAAGGACATACTTGTAAAGACTTAATGCTTGTCCTAGAGAGGAAAAACAATTTCAACAGTCAGGACATCAGAGTGGTGGAAAGTATTCATGCAGGAAACTGAATGATGTACTTTATTTGTGAATTTTCATAATTAGCATTGAAACACCGCTACTTTGCTGGCTCAGCTTTTTAATGTATCAGATCCTTTGTGTGTAGGAAGAAAGAAGAATAAATGTGTCTCTGAATGTGGGGTGCTCTCTTTTAATAAAGAAACTTGAGAGAAAAGAGACGACAATAGGCAAATATGAAATAAGTTAAAAGAAGTAGGCAGAAAATAGAGAAAACTGCATCTCATGCAGTTGACGTTTATGTGGCAATTGCTTGGTTTGGACTTTTTGTCGGAGAACTTTTTTTTCAGAATTTATTTTGTGTATCACTAGTAAGTGTTGCATAATTTCCATATTTATTTATACTATGGGTCTGTCTCTCCTTCCAGACATAAAGGACACTTTGAATTTCAGGTGATAATGGAGCATACAATCACAGCAATCATATGATGAAAGTATGATTATTATTTTTATTGTCCCTGTGTTACAGGTGAGGAAACCGAAGGCAAGAAGTTGCCAAGTTTAGACAATTAGTAAGTAACACATGTCAAAGCTGTGGTTATACGCTATATACTATATTGAGCTTCTTGATGGTAAAGGTTCCATCTCATATTTTTTTGATACTCACTCAATGTCTGTAATAGAATGGTTGTTGAATAATCTACAGAATCTAAACATTTTTAAAGGGCCTTTTGTAAAACTACTAGTATCCTTAGATCCTTCCCCCTCCTCCACCCCCATAAACATCATCAAGAGATGGAGATTACTAAGGAAAAATTTGGACTTCCTTTTTGGACATATTAACTTTGACATTCAGATGTGGATGTTAGTTCAATAATTATATTTATGAAGCCAGAGCTCAGGAGATAAATCAGAACTGGAGAAATAAATCATGGTTGTCATCAATGAATAGAAGCATTTAAAATCATGACTGAGATGAGCACTGTGACTGGGTGGCATATGAGTGGGAGAGGGGAAGCTGGAAATGTGAAGAGGGCTGAAGACTTAGCCCTGGGCTGCTATCATTAGCAGCTGAGCAGAGAAGAAAAAAAGTGAGTTGGAAATGGAAAACTAGAGTGTAAAGTCATTGGTGCTAAGAGAATAAGGTGATTTGGGCAGATGAGTGTGGGCAGCTGGGTCAAAATGGTGTCAGAGGTCAGGTTAGATGAGGGCAAAGTATTGACTGCTTGGTTTGGTAAGAGTTGATTCATGCGGTGGGGAGGATGAGCAGAGTGGGTTGGAGAGGGTACAGAAGGTGAAGATTAGTCAATTCCTTAGAGTTTTGCTGTAAAGGGGAGATGATGGGTGGGCTAAAAGCTGAATGGGGACATAGGGTAAAGAAAGAGTTGTCTTCTTTAAAAATAGATGACATTAAGGCATATTTATGCTTAAGGGAATAATCTGGTGGTGCAGAAGAAACTGAAGATGCAGGAAAGGGAGGGGAGAATTGTTGGAATGTTGTCTTTTCGGAGGCAAAGAGGCGAGCAGAGCAGGACTTCAGTGCCAGAGGAGAGGGTCCATTGGGGAAGGGACACTCTTCCCTTGGTCCAGGAGAGAAGGCAAGGTATGTGATGCTGATGAGAACTATTCCTCCCTTACATTCATGTTACTAAATTTGCAAGAGTTGATGGATTTTTGCATATGACAACTGATACACATTTCTTCCTCTGAATAAATACATATGTACAGTGAAAATATTCAGTCTGAAAGTGCATATAATAATTAGGTAAAATTTAATAGTTTTATGATCAGACCAACATTTTAGGTTGACCTTTAAACAGCTTACTCTTTCTATGGCTGCTATCTGAGGTTAAAGGAAGAAATTTGCCATAAAAATTAATGTAACAAAATCTTTAATAAAATGACAAAATGTGAAAAATTTTAAATCAGGCATTATGTCTGTTTTTACTTAAAGAAATTAAATCTTTATAGGTATTATAGAAATAATGGTGGCTATAATCAATTGTAACTTCTGGGAACTGAAACCCTATCATGTTCCCAGTACTTTTCAAACATTCGTGCTGATCTTCATAGCAAAACAAACAAAGTAGTTTTATTACAGTTTGACAAGTGAGAAAACCGGCAGTGAGGTTCTGCAAGGTTTAATGATTTGCTCAAAGTCACCCAGCTGGTAAGATGATGTTTAAATTAAAACTTATTCTAGATCCAGAACTGCTTTTCCAAATGCAATATCCTGATATATAAATGTTGTGATGTAAATAATGTCCCTATTTAATGTGTGAAAAATTTTTTGCTCAAAAAGATGAAGTTGCTCAAATATGTATAGAATTGTATTTATTTGCACAAAATACTCATTTTTTTCTAGTCTAGTATAAATTCAGCTAGAAGGAAAGAAGGAAGGAAAGAGAGAAGAAAGGAGGGAAGGAGGAGAGGGAGGCTAAGGCAGTGTCATTTGTCTGATTTATAGGGATAGCAAAGTCAGTGACTACTGGTGTGTCTTTTCACCCTATTATATACGCAAAGGATTACCATGTATTTTCTATTTCGAGTCTGATGTGATTTTTAAGTTATTTTGATCATCGTGATTTCACAACATTTGTAGGGTCTTTATATTTTAAAATGTGGTCAAAACATGTATGTTTTCTCTGTTCTGTCAACTAGTGAGATGAGTATTTGTTGAGCTGTGTTTCTGCTTCTCTGCCTCAGGGCCTGTGTATCAGTTCATTCTCATGTTCTATAAAGAACTGCCTGAGACTGGGTAATTTATTTAAAAAAAAAAAAAAGGAGGTTTAAATGACTCACAGTTCTGCATGGCTGTGGAGTCCTCAGGAAACTTACTTACAATCATGGTGGAAGAGGAAGCAAACGCATCCTTCTTCACATGGTAGCAGGACAGAGATGTGCAGAACAGAGCCAGTAAAGCCTGTTATAAAACTATCAGATCTTGTGGAAACTCACTCACTATCATGAGAACAGCATGGGAAACCCCCCTATCCTGCAATCTAATCTCCTCCCATGAGGTCTCTCCCCCAGTATGTGGGGATTACAACTTGTATTACAATTCAAGATGAGATTTGGGGTGGGAACACAGCCTAAGCATATCAGCCTGAGTGCTTCCCACCCCACTACCTTGGTTATAAAAGGTCAACCTCCTCACCTGGTCATTGGCAGCTAAGAGCTCAGTCACATTTCACACCAGAAGCCTCCTTCTGGGCTTCCTCTTTCACAGCTTTTTTCTGCTAGGTGTCCACCATATTTCCTGGCTATATAGCACTCACCGACCTTCCTGGCTATGTTTGGAGACTTTCCAGTTTATGGGTCCCACATTTGCAAGGCAGAATTCAGAAAACTTTCTTCAGCTTTCTTTACAGCTACTCACTCTGTCTCATGACAGCTGGATCAGAAGTGGGCAACTGATGGAGTCTGGATCCATGAGGAGTTCACGTTGCTAGAAAGGGTGGTGACCATGACTCCCTATTCTTAGGGGTGGCAGTGATTGCAATGTAAGGCTCCTGGCACAGAAATGGCTTTGATGGTGTGGTGGTGGCAGTGGGGGTAATTTCCTTATCAGGCCAGTTCTGTGGCGTAGTTTTGAGTGTTTTTCCTAGCAGTTCAGTCTTGAACCTGCTGTTCCCACTCCTCTAATGATTTTGTGAGTGATCTAATGTCCTTCTGAAAAACTGTTGTTTCCAAAGAAGATCATCACCAAAGGTACCCCTCCAATCTTCCTTCTACAATGAAGCCGGAACAGCTTCTTAGGAACATAAATCTGACCCTGTGCCACCTAACAACCACAATTTATTGTCTTAATGTTGTTCTCAGAATATCGCATTTTATAGAACAGAGCATTCTATCTTTTGAAAGGCAGTTATTTTGTGAACTACCAGGAAAGAAAATGCTGCTATGTCACATCTTTGATTGTAGCAGGTACCCTGATTTCAGAGCTGTTGAAATGAGGTGGCGGGGGGCAGTGTCATAGAGTGAGGAAATGTAGTAACATCTCAAATCTTCGATGTGGCCTCCTAAGGCTGGTAATTGATGTGAGTGGCTCCTCCCTCTTCTCTTGTGCCCTTTTACTCTTTGCCCTCTCACTAACTCTCACAAGGGTCTTTTCTCCCTCCCTGAAAAGGTTATGCTTTCTTACATGTGCTCTCTGTTTCTCTTGCCCACTTCTTAAGATAATTACTATTCATTTGTAATGCCTTAGCTTAAATGTCATTTTTTCAGAGAAGTCCTCCCCAAACCCTCGCTTTCTTCATTCCTCTAATATTAGTATAGTACTTAGTGTTTGTTGAGCATTTACTATGTGCTACACTCAGTGCTAAGCACATTACGTATATTGCCTCATTTAATCCTCACTACAAACTTGCGAGATAGATGCTTCATAAGAGAAAACTGAAGCTTAGAACTGTGCAGTTACCTGCCCAACATTTCACAACCAGAAAACAAGGGGCACAAGCCAGGATTCACCCATGCTGGGCTTGTCATGCTGCTGGGCTACCTCTTTATTTACTTACATGTGATCAGCAAGTCTGTGATGTAATCTCAGATTGTACAATTGAAATTATTTATCTATTTGTATAAAACAATTATCTGTTAAGGATGTTAAATTCCATGAAGACAGAGACAGTAGATCTTGACCACTCTGGCACATATTAAGTGCTCAAGTTAATCTTTATTTTTTAAAGTTTAATTGTGGAAATTTAAAAATGCATGTAAAACTAAAAATAATAGTATCACAAGCCCTCATATCTCATGTTCCAGCGTCACCAAATATCAATTCCTGGCCAATCTTGTTTCATCTCTGTCCCCACCTCCTCTCCCTTGCTACTAGATTTTTTTGAAGCAAATCCCAAAGATCATATTATGTCACCCATTAGTATTTCTAAAAGGTAAAAATCATTTTTAGGGATATAACTTTAATACAATTACCACATATTTAAAAATTAACAATAATTCTTTAGTCAGTATTCAAATCATCCCAAATATTTCATGAATAATTTTTTCAATCAGCTCACTCCAATCCAAGCAAAGGCTGCACAGTGTAGCTGGTTGAATAGTTTCTGAAATCTCTCTTAATTTATAGTTTCTGCAGCCTTGTTTTTCCACCGTCTTGCAATTCATTTGTTATTTGTCCTTTAGACTTTTCATATTCTGGATTTTGCTGATTATATCATGGTGCTTTTGGTTTAAAATGTTTCTTTGACATGGTGTTTCTTGAAAATTGTTGATGCTTTATCAGATTCAGCAGTATGAAAGCAGACCCATGTACCATACAGCTCAATATTTTAAAGTTATAAAGCTCTGTTCAGACACATGACCATTCCCAGAGCTGAAAGAGTCATGTGCTCCTGGGGAAGAATTAATGCCCCAGTGGTCACCAAGATCTGCTGGGCACAACAGGGTGAAGTCAGGGACTAGTTTCTGACAAAACAGACTTTAAACCAACAAAGATAAAAAAAGACAAGGGCATTACATAATGGTAAAGGGAACAATTCAACAAGAAGAGCTAACTGTCTTAAACATAGATGCACCCAATACAGGAGAACCCAGATTCATGAAAAAAGTTCCTAGAGGCCTATAAAGAGACTTAGACTCCCACACAGTAATAGTGGGGGAATTTAACACTCCACTCTCAATATTAGACCATTGAGACAGAAAATTAACAAGGATATTCAGGACTTGAACTCAGCTTTTGATCAAGTGGATCTGATAGATATCTATCTACAGAACTCTCCACCCAAAAACAACAGAATGTACATTCTCCTCAGTGCCACATGGCATTTCCTCTAAAATCAATCATACAATTGGAAGTAAAACACTCCTCAGCAAAGGCAAAATAACTGAAATCATAATTAACAGTCTCTCAGACCACAGCACAATCAAATTAGAACTCAAGATTAAGAAACTCACTCAACAGCACACAACTACAAGGGAATTGAACAACTTTCTCCTGAATGACTCTTTCGGGAAATAATGAAATTAAGGAAGAAATCAAAGAATTATTTGAAATCAATGAAAACAAAGAGACAATGTACCAGAATTTCTGGTATGCAGCTAACGCAGTGTTAAGAAAGAAAGTCATAGCACAAATCTCCTCATGAAAAAGCTAGAAAGATCTCAAATCAGCTAAACACATCCAAACACAACTAAACACTAACATCATGACTAAAAGAACTGGAAAATCAAGAGCAAACAAACCCCAAAGCTAGCAAAAGACAAAACATAACCAAAATCAGAATGAAACTGAAGGAGATAAAAACAAAGTCTTCAAAAAAATAAACCCAGGAGCTGTCTTTTTGAAAAAAATTAATAGACCACTAGCTAGAATAATAAAGAAGAAAAGAAAGAAGAATCAAATAGACATAATAGAAAATGATAAAGGGCGGGGAGAAGGATCCAAGATGGCCGAATGGGAACAGCTCCGGAGTGCAGTTCCCAGTAAGAACAACACAGAGGGTGAGTGCCCACCACATTTCAAAACAAATTTTCACTGCCCACAGACCAGGAGATTCCCACGCCGAAAAGCACCAGGAGTTTTCAGCATGGCGGTTTCAGCCAGTGCTGGGTTGGCATACAGAAACTCATACAAATCTGAGAGGCCATTTCAACTGGTGCCTGGAACACCTGGGAGACGGAGATGCTCATTCAACTGAAAGGGAGGGGGCAGAGACAGGGAGCCAGGCGACCTGGCTGAGTGGGTAACACCCCCACAAAACAAGCAATCTGAACTGCTCTGGATTGAGAGTTTTGCAGTAAGCACAGCTAGACTCAGGAAGGTTCAGCCCAGTGGGGGGAAGGGCAACCACCACTACTGAGGCAGTCTGCCACTACCAAGGCAGTTCACACAGCAGCTGGGCAGAGCCTGCAGCAGCTCAGCAATGCCCCTCCTGGCAGACTGTGACTAATGAGTGTGGGGCAGGGCATCTGTGCAAAAAGGCAGCAGCACAACAGGAACTTACAAATAACGCTGACCTTTCTAGGACAGAGCCCCTGGGAAAAGAGGCGGTTATGAGTTCCACTGCAGCAGACTTAAAAGTACCTGCCCCACAGCTCTGCACGTAACAGCGGAGCCCCCAGCACAGCACTCGAGCTCCTACAGGGGACAGATTGTCAAGCAGCTCCCAACCCCTATATATCCAGGGAGACACCTCATAAAGGAGAGCTCAGGCCAACATCTGGCAGGTACCCTTCTGGGATGAAGATAACAGAAGAAGAAACCGGCAGCACCACTTACTGTTCTGCAGCCCCCACAGATGATCCCCAGGCAAGCAGGGTCTGGAGTGGACCTCCAGCAGTCTTGCAGCAGAGGGGCCTGTTAGAAAGAAAACTAAGAAACAGAAAGAAATGACTTCATCAACAAAAAGGACGTCCACTCAGAGACCCCAACCAAAGGTCACCAACTACAAAGACCACAGATAGATAAAAGCCATTAAGATGGGAAGAAACCAGCGCATAAAGGATGAAAATGCCAAAAACCAGAATGCCTCTCCTACTCCAAAGGATCACAACTGCTCACCAGCTAGGGATCAAAGATAGATGGAGAATGAATCTGATGAATTGACAGAAACAGGCTTCAGAAGGTGGGTAGTAAACTTCTCAGAGCTAAAAGAACATATGCTAATCCAATGCAAAGAAACTAAGAACCTAGAAACAAGGTTAGATGAGATGCAAACTGGAATAAACAGCTTAGAGAAGAATATAAATGACTTGATGGAACTGAAAAACACAGCACGAGAACTTCAAGAAACATACACAAGTTTCAATAGCTGAATTGACCAAACAGAAGAAAGGATATCAGAGATTGAAGATGAACTCAGTGAAATAAAATGAGATGGCAAGAATAGAGAAAAAAGAGTGAAAAGAAATGAACAAAGCCTCCAAGAAGTATGGGATTATGTGAAAAGACCTAGTCTACGTTTGATAGGTGTACCTGAATGTGACGGAGAGAATGAATCCAAGCTGGAAAAACACTCTTCAGGATATTATCCAGGAGAACTTCACCAACCTAGCAAGCCAGGCCACCATTTAAGTCCAGGAAATACAGAGAACACCACAAAGATATTCCTCAAGAAGAGGAACCCCAAGGCGCATAATTGTCAGATTCACCAGGGTTGAAATGAAGGAAAAAATGCTAAGGGCAGGAGAGGTTGCAGTGAGCTGAGATCATGCCACTGCACTCCAGCCTAGGTGACAGAGTGAGAATCCATCTCAACAACAACAACAAAAAATAGCATGAAATACAAAATTAAACACAATTTAATTTCTGTGAATATGAAAAACATATGTACACAAAATAAAAATGTCCATTTGTGAGAACATGAACAGATAACATAATAAATATGTTAGAATGACTGCCTGTGACCAGAGAAAGGGATGAAAGTGGAGTATGAGAATAAAAGATATACCAGTCAATCAACTAAGAAAGGGAGCTGGGTCAGCTCCCTTAGGCTTTTGAAGAGATAGCAAGAGATGCCAAGGCAGCAGAAAAAGATGTGGAAAATCTTGCGTTGCCTCCATTTCTCAGTATTTCCTTATCATCACAACTTATAATGCCTAACTCATCTATTCTCCATGAAAGGTGGCCCACAAAAATGTAATTAGTTAGAAGCAATCTCCTGATAGTACTTCATTTCCTGCCCAATTTCATGTGAAAATGTCTTTTCCCCTGCATCTGGAGCTTTGATGCTTTCCCGATATTCTGGCCAAACCTGACAATTCTTTGGTGATCTAAATGCTGGTATAGAGTTGATAACGTTATTTCTTATTACAAAGAAATTATGGAAAGCAAGCTCACATTTATATTGACAGTGAAGAAATCCCTTGTTTTGTACAGGGTCTATCTTAAAGCTTGTATATGCAGCTGCTTTCTGGAAGTGAAGATGCAATGTCTGTCCTTAACGTTCATTCTGGAATTGGAGTTCCAGAGCTACTGAAGTTATAGGAAGTAGAGCTAAATTACACTAAATGGAAAAATGGCACACATAAAGAGAAGAAGGAGCATAAGAGATTTAGTCAGGAGGTGAATTGTTTAATGAAAATCCCCCTTTCCATAATTTATAATAATGGGAATTCAACAGACTATTTCTGTCTCAAGACAATAATTAGAATATTTTATTTTACAGGCTTCAAAATTCAAAGGAGGTGTCAAAATGGAGGGTAGGGAAAAGGTAAGCTATGTTAACAATATTTAGTGTGATTTATAGGTGTTTTAAAATATTTTCTGTTATAGTAACTAATTAGATATCTTGGGTATAAGAGTTTCAGATACTTTCCTTGACTTCTCTTGATTTATATGACTAATTCATCAAATTCACTAGCATTGCAGTTTCTTTACCAGTAAAGGAAGAAACTAAAGTATAAAAACTTTTCATTCATATTTCAAGATCTTTGAAGAGTAATAGTTATTCTCTTCAAGTATTACCCTCAGGGTCGTCATGACCTCCTTGGGAGAAGACTTCATGTGGATATTGTAAGCTTTGATTATCATCAGCTTCTATGCTAAAATATCTTGAAAAGTCTTTAGATCTTAGAAAGATCTTTTTTCATTCAAGTTTAAATAAGTTGATTTATAAATTTGAAATTTGAGAAGTTGGAATGAGAATGGGAAAAGTAGAAGCTCATGGTATAATAATAAGAAAATATCAACACTACCTGAAAAATGTCTTGCCCTCTCCCTGTGGTTCACTGTAAATCATTTTTAAGTCTTTATCCAAAATAAGAATGTTCAACAACATGATAAGCTCTCAGGAAGATTGTGAAAATACCAAAACTAAATCTCTAGATTAAAGTAAAATGACTATTGATTTGAATAATGTTATGTTTACTCTTTTGAACCTATCATCTTTATTATTTAAAAGTTGTATAGTGTGAGCCAGATTTTCTCATTTCAGTTTAAAAGATCCAAGCCATTCTTATGTCCAGATTCATCTATGGTTACTATGGAGATGCCTCACTTTGTGTGAGGATTTACATTGTCATCCCAAAAGCAAACGAATTTGGGCTACTGAGTGCTTTGAAGACTTTCTGAGGTGGGGGTTGGGCAAATATCAAAAGTTGCTGACATTTTAGTTGAGACTCAGTGATTCATGGACAGTGGGTCAGGGAGTGGGTGTTGGTTATGTTCTGCATATGACGGTGCCCATCTTCACAATTGTATTAACCTTGTACACACCACTGTTAGCTACTCCATAGCCATTCTAGCCATGTCCCTTTCTTTGATTTCAGAGAGCTGTTGAGTTTATAATCTGTGGCCAGTAGGCTTAGAATTATAAAACCCATGTCAGTCTACTTAAAGTAAATGTATGGGAAATGAATATGAATTTAAAAATGTATTGGTGGCCAGAAAATCTGAGTTTTTGGTCTCACTGAGTGGTCCTGAACTGTTCCTTTCATCCTAAGGCATATGAGGCATTAGATTAGGCTGGATACATCAGGGTTCCCAAACATTTCTCTGAAGTGCATCCAAGAGTTGGTATATTTATCTTCTTCTCTCTTCTCCCCAAGTCCCTTTCATAAGCTCCCAAACACCCCAGAACGAAATTAATTTTTATTCCTGTATTTAAAATGAAAAATCAGAGTAAAATTTACATTCTACTGCATGATATATTGGTATGTTTTGATATAAACTACTTCAAATGAATAAGTTATCTTAAACTTTCCAGTAAAATAGATGCACAAGAACAACATGTCCTGTTACCTGTGGCTCTGAGTATGGTACAACAATACTGCCTTATATGCCTAGTGGTGCACAAAATTCCACCTGAGGAACAGCTGAAAATTATACTTTAGCAGAGCTGTGAAAGACGATTGCCTCTGGTCCTATGTGATGTCTGAAATCCCACCATATGAAATGATATTCTTTAATCTCTGTGTTCTCCTTGACAGTGCAGCTAGAAGAGGGTGTGTGATAAATTATTAATGCCTTAGCAGTGGCTAGTGATAGCTCAAAGACAACATACATTTATAGTAATAATAGTTACTGGTATGGTTTGAATGTTTTTCCTTCCAAAATTCATGTTGAAATTTAACCTCCAATTTGTCACTATTGAGAGAAAGAAAACAATTAAAGGCCCTTTATTAGAGGGACTTTAAGAAGTGATTGGGCCATGAGGGCTCTGGATTAATTCACTCATGGATTAATGGGTTAATGGATTAATGAATTAATGGGCTATCCTGGGAATAATGGGCTATCAAGGGGGGGGCAGAGAGAGAGAGAGAAAGAGAGAGAGAAAGAGAGAATCCTTATAGGGAGGGAGCAGCGGGATTTTAACCCTTGAGTTATTCCCCTCCCCTTTCATGTTCTTTCCCAATGAGAGTAGTTCTTTCAAACTTCCTCTGGAGTGATTGATCTTTGACTCCAATACTGGGTTGGCAACTTGGTCCACAAGTCTTGAGTTACAGAGCCCCCTCCTCCCAGAGTCTTCAGGAACTTTTTGGACAAAGGAACCCACGTGGATTTCTCTACCTAGCCCATGAGGGAAACCCAGACAAAGAACTTTACATTTCAAACCCTTCTGGTTTCCAGATGGACGGGTGAAGCCGGGAAACTTCTGCCTTTGAAAGTATGCCCCTCGCTGAGCTGGGAAGAGAAGTTTTTTCTTTAACACAGTCCCTCAATACCACTGCCAAACCTGGAACTAGGATTTGAAGTATCATCTTGAACTGCATTTATCCATTATGTGTCCTGTTCCTGTGGCTTTTTCTGTTGTGAGGTCTTTCATATGTCTGAATTTCTTCTGCTTCTCTGGCTCAGGCCCTTTCTGGAGAAGTATACTAGCCTTCCAGCTTTAAATAAAATTTATGGAGGTAATTGTTTTGGACTGAGCTTCTGCACTAGGTGTCAGCAGACCAGACCAAATAAGAATGGGGTCACTCATGGTAAATGCCATGTAATGAAACTTAGAAATAGGCCAATTTTCCAAAAAGCCGGAGATTCAGCAATACCCATTGTAAAGGGGGTTAGTCAACCTGAGCCAGCATTACAGAGAAACCACGCTTTAACCCTATGAGGAAAGTAACTTTGAAAAGACAAATTCTCTTCTTCTTTGTTTCTGCTTTTATTTTTTTTTTTTTCAGGCTTTTCTGCCTATAAAACCCATGCCTTCTGCTCAGTCCATTGGAGCACCTTTCTATTTTGTAAATGAAATGCTGCCCAATAAAGGCCAATTAGATCTTTAAACTTAATGTGTTTAAATTTTGTTCTTGACACAGTTGATCTTTCTGCTTTTAAATACTTCCCCCTCCAAATATTCTGGCAGGTTGTCTATAGGACAGTATTACTAATTCATTAATCAATTGTACTATCCTCGCACAAAAGCCTTTACCAACCGTCTGTGACCCATTGAATCCAGTTAAACTTTTCCCCTTGGCATTGAAAACCTTCTTGATCTTGCCTGACCTACATGTCTGGGCTTATCTACATAGCCACTGACATAAAACCTACATACCTGACAATCTAGTTGTTTTACATTTCTTCAGGCATGAGGAAATGTAATGAAAGAATTTTCTTAAATTGTGAAGTTACCTTTGCCGTTTGATAGTAATCAGCTCAAGGACAGATAATGTATCTTGTACATTCTTGAATTTATTCCCCAACACAGCAAACAGCCCTGTGGAGATGCCAACTAGAGATGCCAATTTTAGCTCTTCCATGAACTCCTGTGGCAAGAGGGAGGCAGCATGCAGGGCTTAGATGTAAAAGTCGGTCCCTGATGGCATGGGACAAGGAGATGTGAAAGAATGAGCAAGGGATTAAAAGTTATGGGCAAAATTGGGAGAGCTGGTGCTGAAGACACATTTGATCTGTTTAAACTTCCTGGAAGGGTCAGGTCACTGTGAGCACTCCTGATGTTTGCTGGGTTGGGGAAACAGCAGGCTTGCAGACTAACATGTGATGGGAAAGAAATACTGACCAGAGTTTAAACCAATGTCAAGGAGAGGGCTCAGGTGGGTGGAACCCAGTGAAAACCAGTACACTGTCACTAGGTTGAGAGCTGGGAGGGATGAACCAGGCTGATAACCAGCTTTTCGGGGTTGGGAACAAGGGTGCTGCTGTGTTCTGAATGCTCCCCAAAATTCATGAGTTGAAAGTTAATTCTTATTGTGGTTGGACTAGAGGTGGGGCCCTTTGTGAAGTGATTAAGTCATAAAGGTTCCACCCCACCACAATGGATTAGGGAACTAAGAGCTGGAGGAAACTAGCTTGGGCCCCTTTTGTTCTTCTGCTCCTCTGCCATGTGAGAACACAGGGTTCACCTTCTTTTTGTCCTTCCATCTTTCCTAACATGTTGAGGACATCTAGAGTGCCGTCTATGAGGAACAGGCCCTCACCTGAAACTGAACCCACCAGCACTTTGATCTTGGACTTCCTAGCCTTCAGACTGTGGGACAATAAAATTTTATTCTTTATAAACTATCCAGTTTCAGGTATTTAAAAATAGCAGCACAAATAGACTAAGAAAGATGCCTAACAAACCGCAAAGATAGCCTTGGCAGGAGGGATTGCCTAAGATTAAGGCCTCATTTTCTTGCAAAATTTTGTTATGCATTAAGTTACTATTTCCCAGTGTCTGAGGAATTTTGGCCATTGTTTCCATGTGTGTATGTGTGTGTTTAGCTGGAGCCTAACAAAAGAAGGCTGTGGATGATGTCACCACTTCCTCACTTCCTGTAGCTACACACCAAAGTGCGCTGGGAGAGGGGCTGTTAACTCCAGAGCCACAACCTGGGTCTGGGAAAGCTCTGATTTCAAACATGCTGTCGATTCTTCCCCAATTAGCATTAATTCTTTATCATAATCTATGTCTTTATTTTTGCTGCCTACATGTCCCTTTTCTATTACACCATCATTCTCATGGAATGTTCTTTAAATACAAACAGAGCCTTTGCTTCCTAAGAACTTTCTTTTGCACTTTGCCAGAGGATCAACCTTCTGAATGAAATCAAAAGTGAAACTTTGTGGAGGAGTGTGGGATCCAGAAGTGTAAGAATTCTTTTGTTCCTAGCTGTGGGTTCTCAGCACAATAGTAAGAACCCTTAAAATGATAATACTTCAAATTTCTCTTGAAAAATTTTCATTTATAGTAGAATAAATGTCAGGAGATGTTAAGTGTTTGTTACTAAGAATAGAATATTTCCCAGCTCCAAAATTTATTTTCAAAGCAAATAT